AAAAAAAAGTACACTCTGAAAGAAGTATATTCTGAAAAACAAAAGAAGTATACTCTGAAAAACAAAACATTGTTGAAAGAAATTTAAGACAGAAATAAATGAAAAAATATACCATACTCATGGATTGGAAAATTTAATATTAAGATGGTAATATTCCTTAAAATGATCTACAGATTCAACAATGTCTTTCAATATTCCAACTGGTTTCTTTGAAATTCATATGGGAATTCACCGAACTCAAAATAGCCAAAACAATCTTACCAAAGAAAAATAAAATCGAAGGACTCATATTTCTTAATTCAAAATAATATCTCATAAGGACCTAAATCCAGAATATAAGAGAATTCTTACAACTCAATAATATAAAGAAAAATAAGCCACATAAAAATGGACAAACATATACTTTCAACTTACACAATATGTATCAATTATATCTCAACAAGCGGGGGGGAAAATGGATAAAGGGTCTTTTTTCTTTTCTTTTTTTTGTTTTGTTTTGTCTTTGAATAGAAAATTTTTTTTTTTCCAAAGAAGAGATATGAAAGGCCAATAAAGCACATGAAAAGATGCTCAACATCATTAGCCGTCAGGGAATTGTAATTCCAAATCTCAGTGAGATCCCACTTTATACTCACTGGGATGAATGAAACAGAAAATATAGACAAACAAATAGCAAGTGTTGGCAAAATGTGGCGTATTTGGAGCCCTCATACACTGCTGGTTGGATTGTAAAATGGTGCAGCCACTTTAAAGGACAGCAAACAGTTCCGCAAATGCCAAACACAGAGTTTCCACATGACCCAGCAATTCCACTGATAGTTCTATAACCAAGTAAAATGAAAACACGTATCTACACAACTTGTACGTGAATATTCACAGCAGTGTTATATGGAAATAACCCAAACATTTCTTAATTGATGGATGGATAGACAAAATGTGGACTATCTATATAATGAAATATTATTTGGCCACAAAAGAAAACTAAATGTTGATACATGCTACAACATGAAAGAACCTTGAAAACATTATGGTATGTGTAGTGAAAGAAGCCAGACATAAATGACAAAATATTGTATGATTCTATTTATATGACATTTCTAGAATAGGAAAATCTATATGCATGGAAAATAGAGAAGAGATTTCCAAGGGATTGAGGGAGAGTGGAATAGAGAGTGACTGTAACAGGTACAGGATTTCTTTTTGTGCTGATGAAAACATTCTAAAATTGATTATGGTTGCCCTGGCTGGATAGCTCACTTGGTTAGAGTGTCTTCCTGATATGCCAAGGTTGTAGGTTTAATCCCCTATCAGGGCACATACAAGAATCAACTGATGAATGCATAAATTGAACAGCAATTTGATGTTTCTCTCTCTCTCTCTAAAATCAATATAATATTTTAAAAAATCAATTGTGGCGATGGCTGCATATCTTAATAAATATACAGAAACCCACTGACATATATACCTTATAAGGGTGAATTTTATATCACGTGAATTATCTACCGTATTTTTCGGACCATAAGACGCACTTTTTTTCCCCCAGAAGTGGGGGGAAAAAGTCCCTGCGTCTTATGGTCCAAATATAGCCTACACATATACTTTAAAAAAAAAAAAAGTTTTTTTACTTGCCCGGCTCTGTGTGGTCTCTGTGTGCTTGCCCAGCTCTAAAATGGTTCTAAATGCTGCTGTTTACTTTACAGGGTTGATTACATGTGTTTATGACTGTGATGTTGGGTTTTAATGCACATAAAATATTTTAGGACACTATTTGTTTCAGAATCTTTTTTTCTTCATTTCCCTTCTCTAAAAACTGGTGCGTCTTATGGTCCAGAGCGTCTTATGGTCCGAAAAATACGGTAATTTGGTTATTGTAAATAATGTTGCAATGAACATAGAAATACATCATGATCTTTTATTTATTTATTTTTTATTTTATTTTATTGATTTTTTATAGAGAGGAAGAGAGAGGGGATAGTCAGAAACGTCGATGAGAGAGAATCATCGATCAGCTGCCTCTTGCACACCCCTTACTGGGAATGTGTCCGCAACCAAGTACATGCCCTTGACTGGAATCTAACCCCGGACCTTTCAGTTCGCAGGCTGACGCTCTATCCACTGAGCCAAACCGGTTTCAGCATGATTTTTTTTTTTTTTCATCATGATCTTTGATCAAGTAATTCCAAATGTGTAGGTAAGTCTCCTGGGAAACTACTCATATAAATGCCTAAAGGAGCATGCACATGCCTTGACACTTTGTTTGTAAATCATGAAAATTTGTAATTAACCTAACCATTTACCCAAGTGGAAAATCATGTGGGAGTTGAAAAGAATAAAGTAGAGCCGAAACCAGTTTATCTCAGTGGATAGAGCGTCGGCCTGCTGACTGAAGGATCCCAAGTTCAGTTCCAATCAACGGCATGTACCTTGGTTGCGGGGGGTTAATAGTAGTAATGGTTAAAATTTTGGTCTCTAATCCAATGAGAAGTGAAAGGCAGTTGGATGATGATCAAGTAGAATTGAATCACACAGATTTAATCTGTAGACTGTAGGTCTTATCACTACCAAGGATTCCTTATTATTTGCTCTATATACTCCTAGTGATATTCATTTGTTCATCCAGCAATTCATTCATTCAGTAACTCCTTATTGAGCACCTGTTATGTAGGCACTAGACAAACCTTAGAAATAAATGACTGTTTGTCTCTATGTTCTGGGAATTAACGTCTTTCCCCAGTGGAAGAAATAGACACACAGCTAACTGCCAACAAATGTGCCTGTGAGTTACACATATGGACACTGAACCCAGACAGTCTGGGTGTGATTCCATTGCTATCACTCACTAGCTCTGTGACCTTGGATGAGTTATTTAACCTCTCTGGTCATATCTAAGAAATGGATTGATAATAGTCCCCCCTCCTACCATATCCCATCATAAGGTTCATAAGAGGATTGAACAAATCAATGCAAGAGTAAAACACTTTGTCCAGTGTCTGACACATGGCATATACTAGTAAATACACAGTGATTTAAATATAAATAAATAAATATAAATCTATATATATATATATATATATATATATATATATATAGAGAGAGAGAGAGAGAGAGAGAGAGAGAGAGAGAGAGAGAGTTTTTAGAGAGGAAGAGAGAGGGATAGAAAGCTAGAAACATCAATGAGAGACAAACATCGATCAGTTGCCTCTTGCACACCCCCTACTGGGGATGTGCCCGAATCCAAGGTACATGTCCTTGACCAGAATTGAACCTGGGACCCTTGAGTCTTCAGGCCTATGCTTTATCCACTGAGCCAAACCAGTTTTGGCATACACAGTGATTTTTATTTCCAGGCAGTTATGCCACTGTGTGGTTGATAGTATACAAAAAGGGGATTTTGAGAGAAGGGGGCACTCACCACTTGTAAAGATGCTTGTCTATCTAGCAAACTATATATCTTAGATCCTCTTTGTTTTATTAATCAACAGCTAATACAGAACTGGAATAAGAACTTCTAATCGGCATGAGATAAGCAACTCGATAAAAATTCTTCCAAAACAAAGAAACTTGACATTTTAGTCTTGGGACCTTATCTAGTGTAAATGGGCAGTTAGTTCTGTTAGGGTTTGGGAATAGTGGGAATTTTTGCCTTGGATCTCTAGGAATAGCTTCACATACTGACTTCTACTGTGCAGGAATCCTTCTTCCTCATGATGGAGACTTCCGATCTAGGAAAAAAGCACGGAAAGAAGAGAAGGCTAGCCGAAACCGGTTTGGCTCAATGGATAGAGCGTCGGCTTGGGGACTGAAGAGACCCGGGTTCGATTCTGGTCAAGGGCATGTACCTTGGTTGCGGGCATATCCCCAGTAGGGGGTGTGCAAGAGGCAGCTGATCGATGACTCTCTCTCATTGATGTTTCTAACTCTCTCTCTCTCTCCCTTCCTCTCTGTATAAAAAAATCAATAAAATATATAGTAAAAAAAAAAAGAAGAGAAGGCGAGGAAGAAGCAGACATTTATAAAGCAATTACTACTGTGTGTTAGGGGCTGGGCTCTTTATTCCTTTAGTCCTCCTGCTGTGCCAGGAGGCTGGCCTATTATCCCCATTTTAGAGGTAAACAGGAGCTCAAAGAGGTTAAAAAATGTGCTCTGAGTCAACAGCTAATCTGTGTCAGAGTTTCTAGGTCTTCTGATTCTGAGCCTGGAGCACTTGTATCTGCACCTGTTGAGAATAGGCCTGCATCAGGGCTCCTCTGCTTTCCTGATCCTGGTGACTGTGTCTGGCTGCACCCCCGGCACTCACCACAGGGCCCGGCACCGAAGTCACATCATACATAGGTGCATAAAGGAAAGTCAGTTAGCAACGCCCTCACATTTTAGCTCCTTGAAACTCTTCTTAGCCACAGGAAGACTGTGGGGCCCAAAGAGGTTAAGTGACTCGCCCAAGGCCACACAGTTAGAATAGAGGCTGGACTTGCATTCACTTCACCATCCAGCCTCCTCTGTCGTCCTCCTTTTTGTTTAAAAAGATATTTTATTGATTTTTTACAGAGAAGGAAGGGAAAGGGATAGAGAGCTACAAACATCAATGAGAGAGAAACATCGGTCGGCTGCCTCCTGCACACTCCCCACCCGGGATGTGCCCGCAACCAAGGCACATGCCCTTGACAGGAATCGAACCCAGGACCTTTCAGTCTGCAGACCGACGCTCTATCCACTGAGCCAAACCGGGTTTGGCCGATCTTCTTTTCATTATTATTATTTTTTTTCTTTGCCTCTGTTCTCGGGCGGAGGACTGAAAGCGGCCCCTCTAAACTACGGGGCCTTCCCCGCGCCGTCTCCCCTTCCCACCCTCCTGCCTCCCTCTCCTCCCCAGCCCGTCTCCTCCCGCGCGCCCGCAGCCGGCCCGACAGAGTCCCGAGCTGCCCCACCCACCGGCTCCCGTCCGCGAAGCCCCGCCCCCAGGGCGACGTCACGTGCCGCCCCCTCCCCCCGCGCCTGCGCAGCGCTTATTTCCCGCTGTCAGGATGAGGAGGCGGAGGTCGGCGCTCCGGTCCGTCTCTGCCCGCGGCTGTGGCGGCGCCGGCGGCTTCAGCCTTAGCGGTTCCTCCCTGGGCGGCGGCGGCGGCGGCTCGGTCGACGCCTCCTCCGCCAGCTGAGCCCGCGGGAGCCCGGGACGCCGCTTCCCCGCCCATCCCCTCCCCGAGGCCCGCCGCCTGGCCATGGCGCAGCCGGGCCCGGCTTCTCAACCTGACGGTGAGGCGCCCACCATGGCAGGCGCGGCCTGCCGGGAGCCGGTGTCGCGGTGGAACCTCCGGGCGGCGGGAAGGGTGCGCGCAGGCCCGGGGGGCGGAGGGGGAGGGTGGCCCCGCCGGGCAGAGGCGGCGGCGCGCGGGTTCGGGCGCGGGCTGCGCGCGAAGGCGGCGCGGGGGGCCGGGGGGCCGGGGGGCCGGGGCGGCCGCCGCTGGGGAGGGGGCGGGAGGCGCCGGCGGAAGGCGGAGGGAAGGGCGTGGGGCGGCTGCGGGGACCGGGCCGAAGCTGGGGAGCGTGCGGAGGGAGCTGTCGTGGGACAGCCGTGGACCCGCACGTGGGTCCTTCCCCTGGGGAGGATAGAAATCGGGAACTTGCTGTAGTCGTTAAAGAAAAAAAAAAAAATCTTAGATAAGTGGTGGTGTGCCCTCCTCCCTCCCCCAATCTCTGCTCACCGAGCCGGCTGGGCGCCCAGTTTTGAGATAAAACCAGCTGGGATCAGTAACTGGATTTGGTGTCGTTCCTTGAGAGCCAGGGAAGTGCTGGAGTCCACAGGACCTGGGTCCTTCACTACCAAGTTCTGGGCGGAATTCTCAGTTTCTCTGAACTTGAGTATTCTCGCTTAGTGAAAAGAGGTTAATTCAAGCCTTCATATCTTATCTCTAAGGATGGCAACACGCACGTTTATAAAGCGATTAGCATTATTATTATGGGGTATTTTTGAGGAGAACGGTGTTTGAGAATGCTGAAGTGGAGGAGACGTACCTTTATAGCTCTTATGTTCTTGGAAGGAAAAAGACTCCCATCTTTAAATAATTTAAGTTGTCAGAGTCCTTCATGACCTCCTGGGAAGTTGGATTAAGCTCTGCTTTAGAGATTGACCACATCCTTCCATGTTTTTATTACCTGGAGTTATGCTTGCAAAGAATGTGCTTTGTCTGCGACAGGGTCCTACTGTAAGTGGCTGAGAAAGTTCTTTCAGCTAGGTAGGTGTACTTCTATAATCAGCGTGTGTACTAAGTTGCTGTTGCTTTAAAAACATTTTTTTTTTTTTTTTTTTTGTACTAAGCCTCTTTAAATGTGAGTGAAATGTTGGGATATGGTGCTGGGCACATAGTAGCCACTTAAAAGTTGCCTTTGCCTCGTCCTTAAAATAACTTTGTTGTGAAGACCTTACTCTGCTGGCTTTTGGGGAACCTGAAACAATGTTATAATGTTATCAGATTTAAAGGCTAGCTGCTTTCTTGGAAGTAGGCTTTCAAACTGTTAGCCTCTAGTTTTAGGTTTTGTTAGTTGCCTGAAGAGAGATGTCAGTACCCTCACCTGTGGTCGGGTAAGGGTCTCTGCCTGCTATTTTCCTTTCAGCAGAGAGAAGGGAGGCGTTTCTGTTTCTCTGTCAGAGAGCCGAAACACGTGTTTTCAAGCTGCATTTTAATTCTCACCTTTTGCATTTGGTGTCAGGGAAGAAAACTGCATTTTCCACAAACCCCTCTTTGTTACTGCAGACAGAGGCAGAATACAGAGAGCTCCAGTGGCTTCTGGTTCTGATCTGGAGTGGTAGGTATGCTTAGCTGGTTGCTGCCATCTCTTGAGTTGCATGGAAACAAACTCTAGGACAGCTCAGGTGACATGACAGTCTGGAATCAAAATTCCCTGCCTCTTTCAAGATGTGAAATGGTCTTCCTTGTTAATAGGCAGACGTGACTAAGCACTTGAAATAGGCTAGGAAAATTCACTTGAGGAAATCTTGTATCCTTGCTATTCTTAGTGCAAGGTTCCCTATTTTTTCAAGTCCTCCGACTCAAGGATGAGATTTAGCTTGCGTAGATTGCAGTATTTATATTAAATTAGTGCAGTAAATGAGCAGCCACAGCTACTGTGTACAAAAGGAGATAGAATTTGGTATATTTGAGTGCTTTGTGTCAGTATATCCTTAGAAATTGTTTTTGGGGATTTGACTTAATATAGATTACTTCTTGACACTTTAGCTTTAAGCACACTAGAATTACATAGCCCACTGATTAAAAAAAATACAGAATTCTTTTAGTCAAACTGATGGTAAAAGATAACTGCTTAGTTTTTAAATTTTGCTTTAATCCCATTTTAGAAGCAGTTTTATGTTAATATCATTTTATTTTTTAAATTAATCAATTACAGTTGACATAGAGTATTAGTTTCAGGAGTACTACATAGTGATTAGACATTTATATAACTTACAAAGTAATCATCCTGATAAGTCTAGTACCCATGTGACACGTACACAGTTGTTAAAATATTATTGACTATTTTCTCTATGCTGTACTCTATATTCCTGTGTCTGTTTATACTGGCAATTTGTACATTTTTAATTCCTTCCCCTTTGTCATCCTTAAATATTTTTTGGGGGGATATTTTTGTTTTCATGGAGATGTGGTAGACTAACCAGAATCCAGCCCTGGTTGGTGTGGCTCAGCCCTCCAACTGAAGGGTAGCGTGTTCGATTCCTGGTGTAGGGCACGTTCCTGGGTTGCAGGTTTAATCCTGAGCCCTAGTCACTACACATTACATTGATGTTCCTCCCTCCATCCCTCCCTCTTTTCCTTTCTTCCTTTTCCCCCCTCCTCCCTCCTCTCGTCCCCTCCCTCCCACTCTCTAAAACTTAATGGGAAAAAATCCTCTGGTGAGGACTAACAGCAACAAAAAATAATCGATTAGTGTGTAATTGATAGAATGAAATGTAATAATTTTCTTTTTCTTAACTTTGATTTCTTATTTTGTAAACTTTAAAAATATGTTTTTATTGCCGAAACCGGTTTGGCTCAGTGATAGAGCGTCGGTCTGTGGACTGAAAGGTCCCAGGTACGATTCTGGTCAAGGGCGTGTACATTGGTTGAGGGCACATCCCTGGTGGGGGGTGTGCAAGAGGCAGCTGGTCGATGTTTCTCTCTCATTGACGTTTCTAGCTCTCTCTCTCTCCCTTCCTCTCTGTAAAAAATCAATAAAAAATATAAAAATATGTTTTTATTGATTTTTAGAGAGAGGAAGGGAAAGGGAGAGAGAGATAGAAACATCATTTATTGGCTGCCTCCTGCACATTCCCTACTGGGGATCAGGCCAGCAACAAGGTTATGTGCCTTTGACCAGAATCAAACCTAGGACTCCTCAGTCTGCAGGATGATTGATGCTCTATCCACTGATCCAAACTAGGTAGGACAAGTTTTGTTCTCTTTTGATGTAGCATCTTGCTTTACACATTTAGAATAAAGGTAATTTTAATGGCTAAACAAATTGTAGCAGATTATTTCCATTTTACTTTGAGTATTTAAAGTTTATATATAATGTTACTGTCTTCAAATTTTTATATTTTAAAATCTAAGTTAAATTATATCTTAGAAACCTTTGGTCGGATTTTACTTTATTTCTTTTTTATTTAAAAACACTGTCTTCTAAAAATCACGTATAAGAAGTATGTCTTTCGCTGAAACCGGTTTTGCTCAATGGATAAGGCGTCAGCCTGCAGAATGAAAGGTCCCAGGTTCGATTTCGGTCAAGGGCATGTACCTTGGTTGCGGGCACATTCCCAATAGGGGGTATGCAGGAGGCAGCTAATTGATGTTTCTCTCTCATTGTTGTTTCTAAATCTCTTATCTTTCTCCCTTCCTCTCTGTAAGAAATCAATAAAAACATATTAAAAAAAAAAAACACCTTAAAAAAACTTTTAAAAAAAATGTCATCTCGCTGAAACCGGTTTGGCTCAATGGATAGAGCATCGGCTTGGGGACTGAAGGTCCCGGGTTCGATTCCGGTCAAGGGCATGAACCTTGGTTGCGGGCATATCCCCAGTAGGGGGTGAGCAAGAGGCAGCTGATCGATGTTTCTCTCTCATCGATGTTTCTAACTCTCTATCTCTCTCCCTTCCTCTCTGTACAAAATCAATAAAATATATATTTTTAAAAAAATGTCATCTCTTAGAGGTAACAACTATTAAGTTTTTGTTTCGTCTGGATGTTTTTTTTCTGTAGTTACACAGACATTCTACCTTTTCCTTCTGCCCTGAAATGGACATGGTTTACACCAGCAATTTTTTTACCTTTTTCATCTCCTGGCACGTATAAACTAATCACTAAAATTCTATGGCACACCACAAAATATATTTTTTGCCAATCTGACCATAAAAATTGGTATAATTTTGATTCGCTCACACCAGACGGCTGTTGTTGTGTTGGCTGTTGTCGTTTTTTAATTTATTTGACAATGAAAGAGAAAAGAGGTCTGTACCTCTTGGGAAGTAGTAAGATATTGCATGTTTTAAAAATTATATGCTTCACCAATTGAAAATTGTTGGTTTACATACATAGATTTGCATCTTGTCTATTTTATTTCATAAATGTTAGAATTATTATATACTTGTAAATGATTATGTGGCCAGGTAAATATTATTTATTATTATTGTTCCTATTCTATTGATGAGGAAACTGAAGCCGGAGAAATTAATTATATAGCTAGGAGTGTGGGGAGCCAGAATTCAAATCCAGGTCAACTGGATGTCAGGGCCCTCTGGTCTATTTACTAGATCATGGACTGCTTTTCAGGTCAGTGTTATAGATCTGCCTCATTCTTGTTACAGAGTATTTCATCACATGCATGTACCATGCACAGTTTATTTGCCTATTTCTCTAGTGATGGACAGGTAGATTGCTATAGATTTTTTTCATTATTTTATAAGCAGTGCTGGGATAGATATACTATTACATATTTTTTCAGGTATTCTTGCTTTTACTTCTGTAAGAATACTGAATTAAAAGGCAAGAGCTCTGAGTGGTTTAAACTTTAATAGCTATTGCTAGTTTACTTGCAAAAACAGTATCAATTTACATACCTTCAACAGTATTTGAGAGGGTGGTTTTCCCCTACACACTTACAAGCAGTGGATAATGTCAGGTGTTTTAAATTTGTATCCTCTGATGGATTAAGAAATTATATTCTTCATTTAACAAATGTTTCTGTGTCAAGTCTGTGGCAAGCCC